ACACACACACACTGCAAGAGACACCTTCCCCAGCGAGGCGTTTACGCACCTGCTTCTCGATAATGGCCTTGCACATGTCGCGGTGCTTGTCAAGCTGCTCTGTTGCCTCCTTCCCCGCAGCGTCCAGCAGGGTCACCTGAGTCTCAACCTCTTTCATCCACCGCGTGAAGTCTGTCTGCTGCTCCTTCAACCGGCGCAGGTTCCGCTCAAGCGCCTTCACTGCACGCGAACCCGGGGCCAGGGGGGAGGGGTGCGGTGGTGGAGATGAAGAGAGATGGTGGAGGGGGTTATGGAGGGGCAGACGAGGTGAGTGTGAGTGTGAGTGTGTGTGTGTGTGTGTGTGTGTGTGTGTGTGTGTGTGTGTGTGTGTGTAATGGTGTGTTCGATTTACATAGGGTGTCGAGGGGTCCATGTGTATGTGTGTGAGTGTGGGTGTGCATGGAAGCGTATGTGTATACATCAAAACAGATTGTCATGCATGCAGTACATCAGGGTGCTTGTACACATTGTCTCACTTTCGAGGCGGTAAACGTCGTCGATGGGACAGCATTCGTGTCGCTGGTGCGTTTCAAAGAAGCAGCGCACACACAAACAGCACTCGCACTGCTTGCAGTACACCTACACCGCCAACAACAGCAACAGCAGCAACAGTGAGATGAGGTAGACATGCTGTGTGCGATCGTTACGGCACTCAAACGCCAGTGTCGACGGACAGAGCGGGATGGACGTGACTCGCGCCAACACGTGCATGCTGGCACACAGGCATTGGTGGGAACGCACTTTGACGAGTTCCTTGTGTTGTTCGCAGTGCTCAGCCATCATCTTCTCACGCACGAGCTCTGCAAGCTCTGGCTCCTCTTCCACGCTTTCCTCGGAGTTCTCGAGCCCATGACGCTGACAGTATTGGCCGTGGTGTGTGTGTGTGCGTGCGTGCGTGTGTGTGTGTGTGTGTGTGTGTGTGTGTGTGTGTGTGTGTGTGTGTGTGTGTGTGTGTGTGTGTGTGTGTGTGGAGGTTCAGGCGAAATGTGAGGAAGGGAAGAAGAACAGCGTCGATGCTTTGTGCGTGCGTGCGTGCGTGCGTGCGGTCTAGCATGGATGTGCAGGTTGACGTACTCACCACAGCTTCAATGACGATGGGATCCAGCCACGGCAGCTTGACAAGACTCTTTACGGTCAGCGTCCCACGGCAATATGGGCAAGCCTGAAGAGTCGCCAAGAGCAGAGGCGCGGGTGTGCGTCGTTGGTTGACGGTCAACACCGGGCTTGTGCTGGATGAGCAGTTTCCCACAACAAAGACCACGTATATACACACGCTCACACAATAGCAACAGAACACGAGCAGATGTGTATACCCCGCACGCACTCGCAAGGAAACGCAAACAAGCAAACGCAAACACAAGCAAACGCAAACGCACACGTCCATTGACCTGCTTGTTGCTGAGCCACGTCGAGAAGCAGGCTGCGCAGCCTTTGGCGCCGCAATGCGGGCACACCACAGCACCTTGCAAGGTGCCATGGCAGATGTGACACTGGAACTGCTTCAACAGATCCATGCTTGCTTGGGATAGCAAGCAAGCAAGTCAGTCAGCAAGTCAGCAAGAAGAAGCAAGCAAAGCTTCTTTGCTCGCCCTTGCCTGGCTTGCTGAAAATTGCATGGAGGTATTCGTCATTTCTCTACAACCACGATGGTGATGAACGTGCTGGCAAAGCGGGTGGTGGGTGCTGTGGTGCGGTGTGGGTGCTTGGCTGTGGAGCAGCAGCAGCAGCCATCGGCCACCACTGTCAAGATGGCGGCCGCAGGGGTCAACCGAGTTAGTGCAGCCGCATGGACAGCGTTGAGAGGAGTAGTTGGTGTGCAGATGCAGCAGAGGGCATGCCTGAGTCGCGCCACAACACAGTGCAACAAGGACAACACCAACAAGCCCAACAACACAAGCAGCAGCAGCAGCAGCTTCTCCACAGATTTCCTGGACGCCATGCTGCCCGATGCCAAAGGCCCAAACTTGGCAGACGCTGCCTCACACGCCCCAGTGCGACGTGTCATGTGAGCTGGACAGGCTGCGTTCCTGTGTTTGTTCTTGTGTTTGTTCTTGTGTGTTCTTGTGTATTGTGTGTGCTTCTTCTTGTGTGTTCTTGTGTATTGTGTGTACTTCTTCTTGTGCGCGTGTGTGTGTTCGTTTGTGCTTGTCTTGTACTTGCGTTTGCGTGCTTCGCGTCAATATGTGATATCGCAAGCCATCGATGATGTGGTGCTGATTGTGTTGTGCTGGCTTGCTTGTGTTCCTTCTAACACGCGTTGACAGGCGCAAAGGCCAAGCGGTATTTGACTCGAAGCTGGAGCGTGCGCTGGCAAGGATCAAGGTGTCCCACAACAACACCATTGTCACCATCACAACACTTGACGGTGAGTCGCGCACGCAATGCAATGCAATACAATGCATCTCGGCGTAATATCTTGGTTCCGGTCCAGCGCACGAGCTTGCCATGGCTTTTTGTTTGAATTATGTTGTTGGTCAGCCACGCACACACACACACACACACACACACACACACACACACACACACACACAACTAACGCTGTGCGTGTGCATGTTTGTTCTTCATCAGGCGATCCCATCGTCACCAAGTCAGCGGTACGTGCGTGTTGCGCTTTGTGAGTGCGTGTGCTTTTGGTTTATGTAGATTCTGCCTGATGCTTCATGCAACTCCTCACCGCTATTTCCACGTCACCGTTGGTGTGTGTCGATGCAGGGCATGTGCGGCTTCAAGGGGGCGCGCAAGAGCACCACATATGCAGCGCGGGTTGTTGCCCAGCAAGCTGGAGAGGTGCGTGCGCGTGCGTATGTGTGTTTGTGTGTGTATTGCTGCGTGTGTTTGTGTGTATATTGCTGCGTATGTGTGTATTTGCGTGCGGATGTGTGGTTGTGATTGAGTGAGTACGCGCGCATGCGTGTGCGTACATTGCATTGCTTGCGTGCGTTTTGTATGTGCATGCTCGTCGTGGCAAGCACTCACCATTGTGACCATCCTCATTGTTTCCACCCTTGCTGCTGCTGCTGCTGCTGCTGTCGTTGTTGTTTGGTTCTGGTTGCATGTGTGTAGGCTGCCGTGAACAAGGGTGTCATGACTGTTAGCGTTCTTGTCAAAGGCCTTGGCCCTGGTCGCGTGGTGAGTGCGTTGTGGGTTGTTTACATTTGTTTGCATTTGTGTGTGTGTGGGGGGGGGGTGTTCATTTGCGTGTGTGCGTGCGCTTGTGGGTGTGTGAGAGAATGTGTGTGGGTGTGTGTGGGAGTGTAGGTGTCCGTATGCACACACGACAACACACGAAAGCACACGAAAACACACGCACATGCACATGCAACCTCGCTGCTTGTGTCTCTTCACCATCAAGTGCGCTCACTCACCGTGCCGCGCTGCCTCTCGATCGCGCATGCCCATCGCCCACCCTGTGTGCTTAGAATGCGCTCAAGGGGCTTGTGGAGAGCAAGCTCATGATCGACCAAGTGGCAGACGTCACCCCGGTACGGCTTGATACATGCCTTGTCGCTGTTACTCTGTTGCTCTCCCAATTGCTCTGTTGCTCTCCCTGTTGCTCACACTTGTCACACTCACACACACACACTTAATCACACACACTCTCTCTCTCACACACTTAATCACTCACTCACCCACTCACTCACACACTTAATCACTCACTCACCCACTCACTCACTCGTACACACTTGTCACACTGCAAACAGGTTCCTCACAATGGCTGCCGCCCAAAGAAGGCCAGGCGATTGTAGTGTGGTGGATCGTGCGTTTGCGTGATTTCGTGCGCACCAGTAAAGATAACCTTGTGCGAAACATATATTGTACGCCAGCCTGTCTGTTCTGTTTTGTGTTTGTGGAGGAGGAGGAGAGAACACAACAAAACAACAACACTTCCTTGAGCTCTCCTTTCTCGTGCACACTGTGGTGAGTCTGCACGCATGCAGATGCGAGCTGGTGTTTGTTGGTGGTGGTATCGGTTGTTCCCGCGTGAGCGTGTGGGTGCAGGCCGTGAGACAACCGTGGCAAGGGCGCAGAGCGAGGAGAGGGGAACATTTCTGTGGGTGTGTTGTAATGGGTTACAAGAATAGATGAGGCATCGCCACACACACTGACTCACGTTCTTGTCGTCAGTCTGATCGTGTGTACATTGCGATGCTATGACATACATGACATGAATCATTCATCTTGTTTGCTTGTTTGGATGTGTCTTTGCATACATCTCACGTCACGGCTTTGTCCATTTCTCTCTCTCACACACACACACACACACACACACACACACACACACACACACACACACACACACACACACACACACACACACACACACACACACACACACACACGCACGCACGCACCACGCACTTTCTCTTGCACCATTTGCGCACACGCACCGACACAGACCCTCTTTTTGCGCCTTGTGACGTTCAACGTTGATCGACCCTTCAACACCATCCAACACAATGGGAGCTGGTCCATCTGCCCTTGTTGAGCACATCGGGTTTCAAGTCCCCGATTCTGCCACCGAGGTGCGTGCGCCTCGCGTGTGTCTGTCAGTCTGTCTGTGCAGAGACAAAGGTCGTGTGCATGCGTTCTCGTAGATACTTGCCGATGTCGGTCACCGCCCCCCCCCTCTTGTTTGTTGCGTGATCCAATCATGACAGAACTCGAGTGCTGTCATCCGCAACCGGCACTTCCCGAAGGAGCTCATCTCCGTGCCTTTCAAGGATGAGCCCGAGATTGACACGTGCTTCAAGATCTTCGCCAGGTGCGACACCATGGACCAATCGGCCGTGCATGTCCTTTGTCCTTTCGCAACACCAAATCACACGCTTGCGCATGTATGCGCACGCACATTCACACTTCACACACAAACACACACAAACACACACACACACAAACACACACATCTGCAGGGCGGTGGAGAAGTACGGCAACAATGACATGCTTGGCCACCGCACGATTGAGGCTGACGGCACGGCCGGCCCCTACCAGTTTGAGAGCTACGCCACCGTGAGCAAGCAGGTGGACCGCATTGGCGCCGGCCTTGCCAAGCTCGGCTACGGCGAGGGCAAGACAATTGGCATCTTCGGCATCAACTCTGCCGCGTGGATCAAGTCGCTTCTGGGCTCATGGCGCCAGGGCTGCGTGTGCGTGCCGCTGTATGACACGCTTGGCGCGGAGTCCACCAAGTTCATTCTCAAGGACGCAGACGTGACCACGGTGTTCTGCGCGCACGCCAAACTGGCGCAGGTGCTTGACGTTGCCCAGGACTGCGGCATCACCACCATTGTCCAGTTTGAGCCTGTCTCCGATGACGACAAGGCAAAGGTGTGCACGGGGTCTTGTCTTGTCGTTTTGTGTGTGTGTGTGTGTGTGTGTGTGTGTGTGTGTGTGTGTGTGTGTGTGTGTGTGTGTGTGTGCAGCTTGCCGTGTTCCCGTGCATAATGTTCCGGTAACATCACTGCTTGTGCACAACCCTGCACACGTGCAACTCACTCACGCACCACCACCATGGACCGCCCACGTGAACCGCCCACGCGAACCACCACGACCAGGCGCCCGAGGGCCTGACACTGATGTCGCTCGATGAGTTTATGGACTCTGGCGATGCGGACGCCGCCGCCACGCCCTGCGCCAAGGACGGCCTCGCATGTACGCCCGCCAATGCTGCTGTTGATTTTGATGGTGGTGTTGTGGTGTAGTGTTGCTGATCCATCTCGCGTATGCCTTGTTTTGAGGATCATCTTTTGGTCCCTGCAATGTGCTGGCTGCCAAGATTGGCTGCCTTTCCTGTTTCTGTCACGACACACACACACACACACACACACACACACACACACACACACACACACACACGTGTGTGCCATCCACTCCTACGCCGTACCTTCAACTCACACTTCGTTTCCCCTTCCCCTCGGTCACGCTCCCCACTTCACACATCACACACTCCCCGGCTGGTCTCCGCCGCATCAGACATCATGTACACCTCTGGCACGACGGGCAACCCCAAGGGCGTGCGCCTGTCCCACGGCAACGTGACTGCCTCTGTTGCCGGCCTTATCGGCATGGGTATTGAGATTCTCCAGACGGACGTCTACCTCAGGTCCCACTCGCTGTCTTGCCCCTTTGTTTACCTGTCTTGACTCTTTGTGCCATCCATGTGTCACTGTGTGTCTGCGCCACCCTCACAACACATCTGACCGCCCTTTAATTGTGCTGACATTCACACCCATCCCTCGTGCACTCACACGCGTGCCCACTCGCTCCTCGCTCCCATTGCGTGCGCCCCTCCAATTCAGCTACCTGCCGCTTGCGCACATCTTCGAGACGGTGATGCAGATCCTTGGGCTGTGCTCGGGCGCCGCTGTCGGCTTCTACCAGGGCAACATCCGCCTCATCATGGACGACATCCAGGCCCTTCGCCCAACCGTCTTTGCCGGCGTGCCACGCGTCTACTCCCGCTTCTACGACAAGGTGTTGTGGCGTAGTGCTGAATGTGTGTGTGTGTGTGTGTGCACTGGGTGTGTGTGTGTGTGCACTGGCTGTGTCAAGGATGAGCGCATTTTGTGTGTATGCGTGTGTGTGTTTGTGTGTGTTTGTGCTTTGCCGTTTTACCGTTTTACCGGCTGCGTGCTCATGTGCGGCCGGGTGGTGTGGTTGGTGCTGCGCAGGTGATGCAAACGATTGAGGCGTCGAGCTGGGTGAAGAAGACCATGTTCAACACGGCCTTTGAGAACCAGCTGGACAACGTGCGCAAGGGCACACGCAACGCCTTCTGGGACAACCTCGTCTTCAACAAGACAAAGGCCCATCTTGGAGGTGCGCGGCAGCTGCGCACAGTGAACGGGTGCACGGTGTGGTTGTTGTTGTTGTTGTTGTTGCAAGTTGTTGCTGCAAGTTGTTGTCGTGGAAGCTGAGGTGGATCGCTGAAAACACACTTGTGGGTGGATGATTTAGGGCGTGCATGGCGCGCGCTTCTTCCCCCGTCAGCACTCATGTGCACAGCACACACGCGCGCGCGTACGCACACACACACATACACACACACATACACACACACACACACAATGATCTGTAGGCCGTGTGCGCCTGATGGCCTCTGGGGCTGCGCCGCTGCCCGCGCACATCATGGACTTCCTCAAGGTTGTCTTCTGCTGCGAGGTGCATCAGGGTTACGGCATGACGGAGAACGCTGCCGCCGCCGTCATCACCCCTGGCGGGTACACGCGCGCAGGCACCATTGGCGAGCCCGTCCCCTGCTGCGAGATTAAGCTTGAGGACGTGCCGGAGCTCGAGTACACCTCCAGTGGTGCGTCGCCCATGACGATGTTGTTGTTTTTGTTTTGGCTTTTGTTATTGTTCTTGTTCTTGTTCTTGTTCATCGTGACTAACGCCGAGGCGCTTTATGTCCCGCCCCCCCCCCGTGCACGCGCATGCCACCTTGTCATGCCGTGTGTGTTGTGCCACCATCCTGCAGACAAGCCGTTCCCCCGCGGTGAGATCTGCATCCGCGGGCACAATGTGTTCCACGGCTACCACAACCTCCCCGACAAGACAGCCGAGACGCTCGTCGACGGCTGGCTCCACACCGGCGACATTGGCCAGGTGCCGGCACCATCATTTGTCTGTGTGTATGTGTGTGTGTGTGCGCGCGTGCGCCTGTCTATCTGTCTGTGTGCAGCAGCTGTTTGCCTCCATCGCGGTGTCATCGCTTTCATACGGTCCATCTCATCCCCAACTCCCCAACCCCCAACTCCTGGCCATGTTTGCAGGTGCTTGAGGACGGCTCGCTGCAGATTATCGACCGCAAGAAGAACATCTTTAAGCTCGCACAGGGCGAATACGTCGCGGCCGAAGGTGACAACAGCATGCACACGCAGCCGGCTCGGTTGTTCCAGCCCTTGAGTCATGGTGTCGCAATAGGTTCTCTTCATCCCTTGTTGCTTCATTCCTGAGCGACCAACCCTCACCCTGACACTCTGTTTGTATGTGTGTGTGTGTGTGTGTGTGTGCAGAGCTTGAGATGGTGTTCCACCGCAGCAAGTACATCAACCAGATCTTCGTGTACGGCGACAGCACGCAGTCCACGCTCGTGGCCATTGTTGTGCCGGACGTGGAGACGGTCGGTCCCTGGATGAGCGAGCAGGGCATTGAGGGCGACTTTAACGTCGCTGCCAAGGACCCAAAGGTACGTTCTTGTGGGTCTGTGGGTCTGTGCCTGTGTGTGCGTGTGTGTGTGTGTGCGTGTGCGTGTGCGTGTGCATGTGTGTAAGCTGCTCAAGTGCATTGTTTCCCGCGTCCTGTTGCCTGATCACCGCGTGTGCACTGCTCGTGTTCGGCGGTGCAGGTGCGCGATCTACTTCTTGCGGAGATCAAGAAGGAGGGCGCAAACGCAAAGCTCGCCGGGTTCAAGGTCCCCAAGGCCATCTTCGTCGAGGTGCGTGCATGTGTGTGTGTGTGTGCGCGCGCGCGTGCATGTGTGTGTGTATGGCATGTTGGCGACGTGCTCATAATGGTTGATGTGTGAGGTCAAACCCATTGTCATCATCATCATCATCATCATCGTGCTGTTGCTCACATAACCCACCGCTTGTCTTCACCCTGGCGTTCGTCTTGTGCAGTCTGACGTGAACGAGCTGAACCAGGGCTTCACCATCGAGAACGGGTGCATGACGCCTTCCTTCAAGCTCCGCCGCCCACAGCTCAAGGCCCGCTACAAGGCAGAGGTACGCCGCTGATGTGCTCGCCTACGCACGTGTGCTCGCCTTTGCAGGCGTGCGTCTGGATTGGCCATGTTGCAAAGACGATGCTTTTTTTTCCTTCACGCATACACGTCACACACGTATACACACACACACATAACACACATTACCACCACCACAGATTGACAAGATGTACAGCCAGCAGTAAGGCGCCCTGAATCGTCGGCCCGCTCGTCGTTGCTCTTAAAGGTCCAGGCCTCCCTCCCTTCTCCTTCTCCTCCTCCTCCTCCTTCTTCTCCTCCTCCTCCTCCTCCCGCTGCTGCGGCTACTGCTGCACCGTCTGTCCCTACCGCTTTCGCTTTTCCCTTCGTGCCCTTACCTTCGTCGCCTTACTGTTGTTTGTGCTTTCTCTTCTGCTTTCCTCACCTGTTGCTGACGTGGGCGCCCTGCGTACGTGCGTGCGCATGTGGGTCCATGCCCAAGATATGAGAAGTCCAAGCAGCCGTCTGTGTTTTCGTCTGTCTGTCTGTCTGTCACCACTGTCTGTTTATCTGTCAGTGCAATTGTTGTCCTGTTGACCAATGATACCCGCACCACGCATTCGCACGATCAAGCGCAAGGGCACACAGATGTGTGTGTGTGTGTGTGTGTGTGTGTGTGTGTGTGTGTGTGTGTGTGTGTGTGTGTGTGTGTGTGTGGAGCCTTGAGGCATGGATGACGGGAGAAAAGCAACATGCCAGCAAAACAACAACAACAACAACAACAACAACAACAACAACAACAACGCATCAAAATCACTGCCACACCCACAACAACAACAAACAAACAAACAACAGCGATGAGCCGGCGCAACAGCAAGAGCGCCCGCAAAGGGTCCAGGGGCAGCAAGGGGGAGGAGACGCCTCAAGCGCCGCCAGAGTTCCACGACTTCAACGATGCCTTCAGCAAGCTCGACGTGGCCCAGCAGGTGCGCGCAGGGAGGAGGCAGAGTTAGCAATCGTGCGAGGGGTGTCGTGGGTGTGTTGGTCTCTGGGCGTTGTTCAAACGCACGCACGTCCACAAAGGTGTTTTGTTTGGGCACCTGGGGTCAGCTGGACTGGTGTCTGCCTCCTTCCCCCCTCCCCCTCGAGCCTCATCCCTTCTTCTCGCTCATGCACACGCTTCAAGCACGGCAAACCTGTCCTTTGTTGTCCTCCGTCTGACTGACTGACTGTGCCCTCGTCAATGCACGCTTGCGATACACCCCACATACGATCCCGTGCCACAGGCGTCCTTCCTTGACATGTTCCAAGCAGGAGAAATGACGGCAGAGGAGGCTCGTCTTCAGATTCAAGAGGTGTGGTTGGTGTGTGTGTGTGTCTGTCTGTCTGTCTGTCTGTCTGTCTGTCTGTCTGTCTGTCTGTCTGTCTGTCTGTCTGTCTGTCTGTCTGTCTGTCTGTCTGTCTGTGTCTGTGTCTTCGTGTGTGTGTCACGTCTACTCCCCAACCTCACCCTACTCCCCAACCTCACCCTACTCCTCAACCTCACCTCCGTCTTTGAAAGATGAGCGAGCATGCACACATTGTCAAGTACCTGGGCAGCGTTCCTGTTGCAGCTGCAAAGCTGACCGCAACCATGTGGGATCTCTTTGGAAAAGAGGTCATCTCCACGGCAGGGCCGCGTCTCAAGGCCCTCAAGCTCAAGCCCGTCGAAGCCATGATCACCATCTCTGCCAGTGGCATCAGGGTGTGTGTGTGTGTGTGTGTGTGTGTGTGTGTGTGTGTGTGTGTGTGTGTGTGTGTGTGTGTGTGTGTGTGTGAAAGGAGGAAAGCTAATCGCGTGGCGTTTGCTGCGTTTGCTTTGCGGCTGACGCGTCACGGCCCTCCGTACCTCTGTGACACTCTCCATAGGTCATCAACACGGCGACGCAGGAAGTGATTGAGAACGAGCCCATGGAGCAAGTGGTGTACAGTGCTGTTGATGCGAGCGACAAGAAGCGGGTTGCCGTCCTCTCGCACTACTCCAAGCTCGGCCTCATCTACTGCCACGTCTTCTCCACCAAGGACAAGGTTCTGTGCGTGCGTGCGTGTGCGTGAGAGAGTGTGTGTGTGAGTGTGTGAGTGATGTGTGAGTGTGTGTGCGAGTGTGTGTGAGTGAGTGTGAGTGAGTGTGTGTGTGAATGTATATATACATATATATGTATGTATGTGTGTGTGTGTGTGAATGTATATGTGTTTCGGAGAACGTGCAATCAACCGACTCAACCTCCCGATACACACACGCACACATACACACATACGCACAGGTGTGCCAGGAGATTGCCGGCGCTGTGCAGCGGCTGGTGCAGGCGAAACCCGTTGACGAGGTGTCGGAGGCGGACAGGCACGAGAAGGCGACAGGCGCGACACTCGGCATCTTCGAGACAGACTATGTGGGGTCTGCCACCAAGCCGCGCAACGAGCACACCTCGGTAAGTCGGGGAGCGGCGGTGTTTGATGCCATGGAGGAGGGATGTATGCGCATGATGTGAGTCGATGATGTCGAGATGGTGGCAGTGGTTGGCGACTTTGGCGTCGATCAACTCTTGTTGTCGCTGCCTCATTCTTCTCGCACCACTTTGGGCATGGTCTGCTGCGCTGTCGCCGCGCACACAAAGAATGAGGAGTTTGTTGGGCAGGTGGTGGAGGACTTGCGAGCGGCCATGAAGGAGAAGAAGAAGAAAGAGAAGAAAAAGAAGCTGCCTGCCAATGCTGATCGCGTGGTCATGGTCATCTCTTCAGAGGGTATCAGGTAACAACCCCCCTGCGTTTGTGTTTGTGTGTGTGTGTGTGTGTGTGTGTGTGTGTGTGTGTGTGTGTGTGTGTGTGTGTGTGTGTGTGTGTGTGTGTGTTTGTGTGTGTCTGTTTGTGTGTGTCTGTTTGTGTGTGTGTGTGTGTGTGTGTGTCTGTTTGTTTGTGTATGTGTGTGTGCGACACCACCTTCGATTTGTGGTACCACACTCTCTTTGTTGTTGTGACTGCCGGCATTGCGTCGCATCTACGGTGTAGGTCATGCGATCACTCGTCATTCTGACGCGTCTTCCTCGTGCAAACCGCTGCCCAGGATTGTGGATGCACTCAGCCGCGAAGTCATCACTTCCATCTACATCACTGTACGCACATGCACGCGCACGCACGCAAGCACACACATGCATACACACACGTGTACATACACACATGTGCTACAGTGGTATGCAATCAGCCACAACATGCCAGAGGCACCGCTGCGTGTTGTATCCATGCCGTCCAGCCCTCATATCGCTGCTGCACACACACCATGTCCTTCTTCTCCTCCCCCCGTGCCTGCATGCTGACAGAAAATCAGCTATGTGACCAAGGTGATGGTGAAGAAGGACCGGTACTTTGCCATCATCTTCAAGGTATCGTGTGGTCACGGCTGTTTGTTGCCTGCAGGCACGTGAATCCTTCCTTAGCCGCCACTGCCGGCGTATTTGTCGTCGGCCCACTGCATCGACTACTTGCCGCCGTTGGCGATGTCACACACCTTCAGCCTCCACTTGGGCTCCTAACCCCCATGGACATGGCTGTCTTCACCATCGACATAGGACGGGCGGCTGAACAAGAAGACTTGTCAGCTCTTCCAGTGTCTGGACGATGAGGTGACGATTGCAGCTGTGTTGGTGTGAATGTGCAGATGGGACACAAGTGGTTGATTGTGTTGTTGATGTTTTTTGTGTCTTCTTTCGTCTCACCCTCATAGCAACCTCATCGTGTGTGCTCGCCATTGACAACATTGTGCTCCACATCCTGGTTATGCCCTCTCTTCCTCTTTTTCAGGCGCAACAAATCTGCAACACTGTGAAGGAGGCATTCAAGGTATGCATCCTGTGCTTGAATGTGAGAGTGTGTAAGCGAACCAGAGCACATACGCACGTTGGCACACACGCACGTGTTCACACGTCAGTGCTGTTGATGCGTCGCTCCCACTACCACGCCTACCCTTCGCTGTTGACCCGTTCCACCTCACCCCAACATGAACCACGCACGCACGTGGGCAGGTTGCCAAGGAGGACGTGAAGGCGCGAGAAGGAAACCCCTTCATGCCCATGTCATCTCTCACAGAGCCCGTCAAGGTCTGTGTAACTGCTGTGGTGTGGGCTGATGCATGTGGGCTGTGCGCCGGCTGAGCCTGCGCTGGCGCCGGCATTTAGGCCTTGCCCTTGCCCTTCTCTCACCTTGAGAATACACACACACACCTACACACGTACACACACACGTACACCTACACACGTACACACACACACACCTACACACATACACATACGCGCGCGCGCACACGCGAACACCTGCTTCAGGGCGCGTTGGCGGAGTGCCAGGTGCCGCGCCGCAGCCTCAACGCCATACGCCCGCTCGGTGCCGGGCAGTTTGGGGAGGTGTTCCTTGCATTGGAAGCGACTGACGGTGGTGATGGGCAGGAGGGCGTGAAGCGGGCAGTGAAGATGCTGCGAGGGGCGGCCACCACCGCGGACAAGGCGGAGTTTATGGGCGAGGCAGCCGTCATGAACATCATGCGACACCAGAACATCGTACGAGTTTGTGGGGCACGTGTGTTGGGGTGGGAGATGCCCGTGTGTTTTCAATCGTTCTTCTACCTCGCTTTGCCTTTTGCGACCATGCCATGCGTCCCTGCACACACATACACACACACACACACACACACACACACACACACACACACACACACACAAACAACGTGTCAGGTTGCGCTGGCCGGCATCTGTGCACAGCATCGGCCCTGGCTGGTCGTGCTTGAGTTCTGCCCCCACGGCGATCTGCATGGTGCGCTGCGTGCTCTTCGCGAACGCCGTCTCGCCCTCTCCATTGGCGAACAGCTGCGCATTGCAGAGAACATCGCCGCAGGCCTCGAGTTTGTCGCATCAAAGGTGTGTACGTGTGCTTTTGTGTGTGTGTGTGTGTGTGTGTGTGTGTGTGTGTGTGTGTGTGTGTGTGTGTGTGTGTGTGTTTGCTTTTGTGTGTGAGTTCTGTGTGTGTGTATGTTTGCTGCATTAACAATTCCTAACACCGCACCCCTTCACGTGTCTCTCATCTGTCCCCCACCAGCGATATGTCCATCTCGATGTTGCCGCCCGCAACTGCCTCATTGGTGCTGATGGAACCATCAAAGTCGCCGATTTCGGTGCGTGTGTGTGTGTGTGTGTGCTGTGCGTTTGTTTGCGTGTATGCACGTGTATTTGCGTGCATGTGCGTGCATGTGCGTGTATGTGTGTGTGTGTCACTTATGTGTGTACGTCTGTCTTGTCTGTCTGTCTGGTACATGTCCTGTTTACACGGCTACAATTGCACCCACACCTCACGCTTCCTCCCCCCCCCCGGCTCTAACCCACCCGCTACCCATCAGGCCTGGCCAAACCCTACGACGCCGGCAAGCCGTACTTCCGCCTGCGCCGCACTCTCAAGCTCTCCATTCGCTGGATTGCTGTCGAGGCTCTCCAGCCCCCGCCCAAGCGCCTCTCTGGTCAGCAGGCTTTTTGTTTGTTGTGTGTGTGTGTCTGAGTGTGTGTCTGTCTGTGTGTCTGTGTGTCTATGTCTGTGTGCGTGTGTGTGTGTGTGTCTGTGTGTGTGTGTGTGTGTGTGTGTGACCTTTGAAGCTTGTTTTTTTTTTGTGTTGTCGTGTGCTTTGTATTTCTGCAATGCAGCTTGATGTGTAAGTGACGTGTTTGCTCATCCGTGCCAAACATGCTGCCTTGTCATTCCCCCGCCCCCAAATCCCTGCGTGCCTTCACGATGTAGAATTTAGTGACGTGTGGGCCTTTGGCGTTACCATGTGGGAGATTGCCACGTACGTTCGCGGAACACGCGTGCTTGTGCTTGTGCTGACGCCTCTACCTCGCAGTGCTGCCATTCGTCGACCGCTCATCGCACACATATTTATAAGCACGCTCTCTAAACACACTTGTCTTCCTCTCATCCACACACACACACACATACACCGTGTCCGTCTGTGCATGTGCGCCATCCAGGTACGGGCGCATGCCATACCACACGTATCGCCTGCATGAGCTGCAGCGGCTGCTGTTGGAGGGACTGCGCCTTGAACAACCCCAGGGCACCCCACACGAAGTCTTCGCCGTCATGCAGAGGTTGGTTGACGTGGTGCTCGGAGCCCTCGGGAGGGTGTTGGTTGTGCCCTTTCCTTGCCTCGATCGAGACGGTGTGCGTGTTTGAGAGTGTGTGTTGCCTTGTCCCACGGTTGCATTGCCTTGTCGCACACTGGCATGTACACATTCTCAAGCACCCACACACGCTTGTGTATGTGTGTGTGTGTGTGTGTGTGTGTGTGTGTGTGTGTGTGTGTGTGTGTGTGTGTCACGCTTTCATCTGTTGCGCAGCTGCTGGCGCCGGTCACCAGGCAACCGTCCCAACTTCAGCCGTGAGTGGCGCCCGCAATCCCATGCATAATGTATTCCACCAATGCACCGTTCGCTCGTGTTTGGAGCAGTGCAGTGTCGACCGCTCAAGTCACCTGTGGTGTCCTCGTTGCCCATCTCACGTGTTGCCAGGTCTTCGCCAAAGGCTGATGGACTTGCAGATGGTGCACGAGCCCGTGGCGAACATTGCCACCATCCTCTCACAGGTGTGTACGCGTGTGTATGTATGTGTGTGTCTGTGCTTGGTGCTGAGGTATGTGCGTGTGTGTGTGCGTGTGTGTGTGTGTCGCTGCGGTGGACTGCTGACATGTGCACACTACTGACACATGCGCGCTGCCGACACACGTACACGTCGTCCTTTCCCTTGCAGGGTGCGGAGGATGGAGGCGACAAGCAGGAAGGGTTTGGCGACTTGGATGACTTGCTGAAGCAGTACGATTTCCCCCAGGCCGATATTCCACGATAAACGCGCATGCGGGTCTACATGACACATGGCATGACTTGACATGCTACACAATGCCACAGGCACAACCAAGCAAACACACACACACACACACATACACACACACACGCCTTTGCGCGCGGTGAACATCCTGGTGTTGCTTCTCTGTGCTCTTTTGCTGTCTGTACAAACAAGACCGTAAACACTGTCAACACGATCCTCGTAATTGTCAAAATGTCCCTCTCCCCCCTCGGTATTGCTCAAAGGCGTGTTCCAATCTTCATGACTGATGGCTCAGCTCGTCTTGTGAGCGTCAGGGTGGTGGTGCCACGCCGTACCAGCCATGTTGTTGGTCTGCGTGCAAAATGATGGCGAAAATTGTGGCTATTCTTTGGCGAATGGTCACGGAAGTCATCCATCAAATCCGCTGTCGCCAAGACAAGAAGAACGGGCAGAGCAGAGACACCAGGCAAGTGGTGGTGTTCTTGCGCAGGGCTGACACTCAGATCGCCACAGATAACCAGTACCCAGCCAGACGCATACACGCTGCTCGCTCGCTCGTTTCCTACTGCCTGTTCCACGAACACGCTTTGCCACATCACGCTGTGGTGCAGTAGTGCAGGTTCCTTGTCACACTAGATCAACCAGGGTATGTAGGTTCATGAAACCGGCGTGCGCGCACGTGTGTGTGTGTGTGTGTGTGTGTGCGTGTGTGTGTGCGTGTGTGTGTGTGTGTGCGTGTGTGTGTGTGTGTGTGTGCGTGTGCGTGCACGTGTGTGTGTTTGTGTGTGTGTGTGTGTGTGTGTGTGTGTGTGTGTGTGTGTGTGTGTGTGTGTGTGTGTGTGTGTTCACGCGTGCATGTTTGCCAAGAATGCGTGAGCTTGAAGGCCGATCTTGTGGGAAGGTCTGCTCGTGTACTCACTGCGACATCCTATTCTTTACCCCTCCTCTCTCTTTCACACACACACACACACACACACACACGCACGCAGAGTAGCCGGCACGCGTTTACCTGTTCCGCGAGAGGGGTCCATCATCTACATCGATTCCTTCATTCATTCATTCATTCCCGCCAGTCAGTGCCGTCAAACAACGACGTCGCGTCATCGCGTTCAGGTCGGTGCACCGAATGGTGGCGAATACAGCACCACCCAAGCATTCAACACGCGCAACAACCACCACCGTTTTTTTTCCTTCTGCAACGCTGCACACAAACACTTCTGTGTCTTGTTCATGATGAATGATGTGGATGGATGGATGAAAACAAGGGGTGGATGACGATGATGATGATGATGATGAGGGATGGGTGATGTGTGTTCATGTGCTGAGTGTGCTGGTGTGTGCTGGTTGGGTGGATGTGACATTTGGGATGTGCTGGGATGTGCAGCGCCAAGCAAGCAAGCGTGTCACACGCGAGAGAGGCTTTCCGTTTGCTGAGATGGTGTTTGAATGCGCACGTCTCAATCACCACCAGCACACCGCACGCAAGCACGCACACATGCAACCGTGTCGTTTGTTGTGGTTGTGATTCTGATGTGCCCTTTGTGTGGGGGGGAGCAACCCTTACTCTCTACTTTGTGGTCAGCGTGCGTGGACCCTTGAGAACTCCCACCTCCACCTTCTCTGTCAGCATTGTTCATTTGTACACTTGCCCACCTCCCATTTCCTCATTCCACACGCACCTTACCATCTTCCATTGGCTCATCACCTGCTTTCCTACCATCGATACGCGCCCATAACACGGCGTGCGTGCCGTCATGTCTGTACCATCGCATGGCCCACAACAACAGCAGCCAACAGGGCGCAACGTGCCCAGCTACGTGTTTCACAACGAAAGAGCTGCAGAATTGAAGCACAAGATGGACCAGGTGCGTGAGACAGAGAACACCTGCACTCTCGTTTGCACGTGTGGTTTGTGTGTGTGTGTGTGTGTGTGTGTGTGTGTGTGTGTGTGTGTGTGTGTGTGTGTGTGTGTGTGTGTGTGTGTGAAAACTCGGTCACGTCGTCTCACCCTTTCCCCTCTCGTCCTCTTTCTCCTTCTCCCCCACTTTGACTCACACCGTCTTGTGCCCGTTTATCCCCGCCCGCGCCTCATCCCGGCTGGTGTTGAGCAGGTCGAACACGAATCCATCACATGGATTCAAAAGAAGTTCCTCTCCACTTATGAAGGTACGCATGTGTTTGTTTGTTTGTTTGTTTGTTTGTTTGTTTGTTTGTTTGTTTGTTTGTTTGTTTGTTTGTTTGTTTGTTTGTTTGTTTGTTTGTGCGTGCGTGCGTGTGTGTACGCAATGTTGGGCATGTCGATTCCCGCCCAAATGGCTGATGAGCGAAGACGGTCAGTCAATGCCACAACACTCACCGTCAAACATGCACGGTTGTTGTGCGTGTACCTTTCGCGTCTCTCAACCATGGGGGTGGTCCACAGCGCTGTCCAGCAAGATGCAGGCGCGGTACGACCCGCAAGATGTCGACCGCGTTCGCAACGACCCGGAGTATGTGGCCTCGTTTGTCCTGGCCAAGAGCATGCAGCGCTCCGAGGCGTTTGCCATGCTCGAGCGGTGCCTGCGGTGGCGCAAGCAGTTTGTGTCGACACTCAACCGCAGCATTGTGGACGACAGCGTGCTTGCCGCCAACGCGTTCTTCTTCCTGGGCCGGGACCGTGACGGCCGCCCCGTCGGCACGCTGCGCATGGCCCGCCACCAAAAGGGCGACTCGCACCGCCTCGCCTCCATGAAGGCGCTCACCATCTTGGTGATTGAGGAGCAGTTGCAGGCGCTGCGTGCCCGTGGAGAACCGGAGGAAATCACCATCGTTGTCGACATGGAGGGCTGCGGTAAGTGCCGGTGACACATGTGTGTGTGTGTGCGTGCGTTCGTGGATGTGTTCATGAATGTGTTCAAGTTTGTGTTCAAGTACTGTATGTGTGCGTGTGTCAATTATTTCGTCCGTCTTGTGTATCGGGTGCTCTTCTTCTTCTCCGAGCCAACCTGCCGCCGCCACCACCACCGCTGCAGGCCCTGCAAACATCGACGTGGAGTACTTCCGGTTTCTTGTTGATATCTTCCGCGATTTTTACCCCGGTGTGCTTGGGCTGATGCTGCTGCTGGAGAAACCATGGTTCACGAGTGGCCTCTGGGACCTCGTCAAGCACTGGCTCACAGAACTGGTTCGTGTTGTGTGTGTGCGTGTGTGTCATATGTGTATGTGTGTGTGCCTGTTGTGTGTGTGTGTCGTATGTGTATGTGTGTGTTGTGTGCGTGTGTTGTGTGCGTGTTGTGTGTATGGTTGCATGGTCCAATTCCCTGCAAGAGAGAGAGAGAGAGAGCGTTCGGTGAGGTTGTGAGCGCGCACTTCATTTGCATCTCACATGCAACGCGTCGCATCCACATCCACTGGTTCAGGAGCTGGAGGCATTTGCGCAGGTGAATGTGGAGGAACTGGACACGTACATTGACGTCAACAACCGCCTCGATAACCACAAGGGCCACCTGAAGCGTAAGCGGACACGTGCTTGTCTACACGAGCCAATGAAGGATTTGCAGAGCGAATGCTCGCGCGCATATGCATTCAATCCTCAACGCGCACGGACAAGACACACTTGATCGCGCACATTGATACAAGCAAACAGCCACACACACACACACACACACACACACACACACACACACACACACACACACACACACACACACACACACACATGTGATCACATGTACTCACCAACCCCATGCCATCCCACGCCACCCTCGCATTTGCACCACGTGCACGACCAGCGCCAGAGAGCCGGGCACCGCCACGCAGCCCGCTATCAAACGTGCAGGGACGCAGCACGCACGCTGACGAGCACTTTGGGTCGCCGAACGAAGCCAGTGAGTCCACACAAGGCTGTTTGTTGGACAAGCGGTGTCTACTTGCATTCGTGCGTGTGCGTGTATGCAGGTAACACAAGGAAGGTCAGGAATGTGCCATTTCTACCATGCTCATCTGATTCATGCTTTACAATACAGGCAAGACGCCAAGTCGCAAGCTTCCCTCCGCACCAGACACACCGCCCCCTCTCTTGCAGCTGCGTAAGTCCTTTATGTGTGTGTGTGTGTGTGTGTGTGTGTGTGTGTGTGTGTGTGTGTGTGTGTGTGTGGCCCTCTTAATTCTTAACGTGCACGTGCATAGCGATCATCCCTTTATTACATTCATCGCTCGCCAACTCACACACACATACAATGCACGCGCTCTGTCTCTTGAACCATGCAATGATGCCAATCCTTGCACAGGCTCAGAAAAGGGTGAGTTGTGTGTATAAGCCATTTGATATTGTTGGTCGTTTGTCTATGAGTGTGTACGTGTATGACGTTCTGCTGGTGCACCCGCCACTTGTTGTCGCCTTGTCCTCCCTGTCCCTTGCTGCTGCACCACCACCACGGCCACCACCACCACCACCACCACGTTTTTCTTCCTCTTCTCCCTTCCTCACTCGCTGTAGTCTCGGCACGCGCTCAAGCACGCCGGAGCTTCTCAAAGCAGAAGGTTGCTGAGTGGAGCAAAACACTCGCAAGTGAGTTGCATCGTGCTGAATCAATACTCGTCCCACAAGTGATTGCGGCATGTGTATGTGTGTGTGTAGTTGTTGGGTGCAGATATTCGAGTTTGGCACTTGTCTCCTTGGTCATGCTTGCGAACAACAACAACAACGCCAAACACCTCCTCACTCATAGTGACCCTTGCATCACCAAACACAACGCACACGCACGCACACACATACACACACCTACGCGGCTTCCCAGGCGGCCCGCCGTCGGAGATGTGGATGGATGTGGAGAGCGTTGCAACGATGGACGAGGTGGATGAGCTCGGCATGTACGACTTTGACAGCTTCCGTCTCTTCAAGCTCAACCCGGAATGGGAGGTGCGCTGGCCACGAGCGAGTGTGCAATGTTTGTGTGTGTGTGTGTGTGTGTGTGTGTGTGTGTGTGTGTGTGTGTGTGTGTGTGTGTGTGTGTGTGTGTGGGTGTGTGGGTGTGTGTGTGGGTGTGGGTGTATAATGTGTGATGTGTGTGTGTGTATAATGTGTGATGTGTGTGTGTGTATAATGTGTGATGTGTGTGTGTAATGTGTGTGTGTGTGTGTGTGTGTGTGTGTGTGTGTGTGGGTGTGTGTGTGTGTGTGGGTGTTTGGGTGGTTGCGCATGGGTGCCCGCTTGGCGTGTTGGAGAGAATTCGCATTTCTCTGAATTCGTGTCAGCTGTGACATCATGGAACCAATGCTGCAGACACACACGCACGCAAGTGGCATTTGTATGAGCGCTCTCTCACAACACACACGTATCCGTCTTTGGCAGATTGTGTTTTCGGGCAGTCTGGAGAAGGATGCTGTTGAGATGGTTGAGATCAGCAACACATGCGACAGCACCATCATCTATCGTGTGCGCACGACATCTTCCGACCGCTACCGCGTCAAGCCAAAGCTCACCGTCATCCCAACAGGTCAGCCCTTGCCATTGGTATAAAAGGTTGTGTGTGTGTGTGTGTGTGTGTGTGTGTGTGTGTGTGTGTGTGTGTGTGTGTGTGTGTGTGTGGAAGTTGTCCGAAATTGCACTTCCACGCGTCCTGTCTCACCTGCAGTTGGTCGCCCGCCGGGTTGCACACGCACACGAGCACGCGTGCAATATATTTGTTTCTTCACACACATCACACACATCACATGCACGCATCTGTGCATCATCGTCATCTATACACATGTGCACGCGTTCACACTGCACCCACGACCTTACACGATGCACGTGCAGGGGAGAGCATCACGGTGACCATCCACCGCAAGCCCGTGTCGGAGGAACAGCAGCAGCGACGGAAGGACGACAAGTTCAAGTTCATTGCCTGCAAGGTCCCGGCCGAGGTTGCCCCAACACTCGCCACCAGAGACGCCATGGAGAAGTGAGTAGTGTGGCACCCATCCCCAAACCAAGTTGTCACTTGCACTTCCTCCGCCACCCGCCACCCCCTCCCCCCCTTCACCCACACCCACACTTCTCATGGTCTGCCACACATTCAACCATACATCCCCTTACCTTTGACACCACTTATTCTCACCAACACCACCCATCACCACGACCACCGCTGCAATTTGTTGGCATCCCCAGGTTCTGGGGTACGGTTGATGCGGGCAACTTTTACGAGCAGATTCTGTCTGTGCGCAACGACACGTGGGGCCACATGAACGACACCAGTCTCAGCGGCAGCAAAGGCCTCAACATCAGCTCGACCGGCGCTGCTGCTGCTGGTGGTGGTATGTCCACGTCCACGCCACGGCAGGGTGTGGCACCGCGCACAGCAGCAACACCATCATCGTCAGCGGTAGGATCGCGCATGGGCACGCCTGCACGCAGTCCAAACGCAAGCGCAGTGTCGTCATCGTCATTCCGGTCCAAGTCCAACCAGTCGTCGCCGCGACCAGCAGCACCAACGGCACCAGCACCGGCACCAGCAGTAGCACAACAACAGCAACAGAAACAGCGGCAGCAGGAGCCCGCAATGAATGCCATTGAAGAAGCCGTTGATGAGGAGACTGATGAGCAGGCGAGCGCACCGGTCGATACAGACGCATCTACAGCACACAACGGTGCTGGAAACACGGGGGAGGACGAGGGCGCCGACGCCAGGGCCCGAGAAACTCAGGAGGAGGGGGCGGAGGAAGCAGACGAAGAAGAGGAAGAGGAGGAAGAAGAGGAAGAAGAGGAAGAAGAAGGGCTCGATTTCGAAGAGGAGCTTGATGGCGATGAAGACCCGGTGCCCACACCGCTGCGCAAGGGCGTCATTGCCCGGGAGACTGGCAGATCCGTCTCGTTTGCCCCGCAGGACGAAGGTGCGCGTCTTGTTGTTGTTTAAGTTGTTGTTTAAGTTGTTGTTTAAGTTGTTTAAGTTGTTGTTTAAGTTGTTTAAGTTGTTTTTGTTTTTAATTTGTTTTTGTTGTTTAAGTTGTTGTTTAAGTTGTTGTTGTTGTTGTTCTATGACAATTGCCACACCATTTACTACTGCCTACTCCTCCCCCTTTATCCTTTGACCAGCACCGCTCACCTTCACAACCAAAACACACAACGTACAACACGCCACATTCAACCCCCCCCCCTTCCTCACGTGCGAGTGCAGTTGCGTCCGAGGACACGTCACAATCGCGTATCGCTGACGAGCGCCGACGTCTTCAGGCGCAGATTCGACTGCAGCAGTTGCGGGCATCGCGTCCAGCCAACGTCTACAGCCTCTTCACCTCGGGCCACATTAACCTCAGCCACTTTCTCGTCGCAGCCACCATCGCCGTGGCGGTGTCGTACATTGTGGCGGCGGCGTTCTTCGACTCTGACATTATCATGATGCCAAACTCAAGCAAGCGGTACCGTGGCCTGGACCTGGACAAAGTGTTTGACATCAACGAGACCGAGACGGTGGACGGTAACGCCACACTGCTGGACCCGCTGTCCACCCCACTTACGTCCGAGACGCTCCACGATGCAAGTGCAGGTAGTGCATCCGACGGTGGTGTTGTTGGTGGTAGTGGTGGTCCCAGCACTGAGGGTGGGACGACAGGTGAAGAGGTACCAATAACCACGGCAACGAACTCCGGTTCAAGTTCTTCACCACCAACTCCGCCGCCCGTAACCGCCTACACCGCAACAATGGATGCGCCCGAACCACCTAGCGACACGTTCTCCCCGCCGCCTGTTGTGCAGCAGCCACAATATCAGCAGCAACATCAGCACGAGTATCAGCGTGACACAGCGCTTCCACCACCACGCACACAAGCACCACCACAACAACAGCAGCAGCAGCAGCAGTCACGTGGAATGCCATCTACGCGGCCAGATGACAGCCCTTCGCTCACGCAGAATGCGCAGCACCAACGCGAGCAGCAGCAGCAGCAGCAGTCAGCGCGGGCGGGTGGCGCTGATCGGCGAGGAGGAGGTGGTGGTGGTGGTCGGTGGAGCGATGATGGCACTGTGCTGCATGCAGCCCCGACAGCACGTGTGGATGCACAGCAGCGACGTGATGTGCCGAGCCAGGCAACGACGACGACCACGACCATTTCGTTTCCTGTGCACGGCCTTGATCCCGCTGTGTGGGAGGTGGCCAATTGGGCCAATGGCTCTCCGTACGCGTGTCCATTTGAAGGGACCAAAGTGTCCTCCGAGCCGCACCGCAACCTTGAGCTGAGCGTCGGTCCCTCTGCGCACACGCGCTATGCGTGCGGCGCTGGGGAGGTGCGCACGCAGGAGTTTTTGGGGTACGGCTGCTACCGGTCTGTGCTTCGACCCGGTCGCACCCCTGGCGTTGTTGCGTCGTTCCAGGCGTTTAGCGGCGCGCTGGACAACGGCGGGAACGGCGAGCACAACGAGATTAGTCTGCAGTTTCGTGGCGCAGACACGACGCGGCTGTATCTCATCATCTGGACCAACGGGCAGTTGGCTGCGCAGCACGTGGTGAACCTTGGCTTTGACGCCACGTACGAGTTCCACACATATGGGTTCCTGTGGACGGAGGATGGCGTGGATTTTGTTGTTGACGGGCGGCTGGTTTGGCGGCGGCCGAGCGCAGCGCGTGTTGGCAGTCAGCAGGTGCACACGCCATCTGCAGGGGACGCACAACTCAAGGCCATCCTCAACACGTGGGCCGTGGATGCCTCTGCAGAGAAGGTGGCTGGGCTGTATGAGGGCGGGGTTTCGCTTATGGAGGTGGCGGCTTTTTCCTACTCCACCAACCACGCCACGTGCGCCCGCATGCTCTAATAACGCAACATGTTTTCTTGCTTTTTGTTGTGTGTGTGTGTGTGTGTGTGTGTGTGTGTGTGTGTGTTTGTTATATGGAGACGATTGGGGTGAGTTGTGTCGCGTGCTTTCGACAACATGCATGCTTCTTTCACACCATACCACAACTCTCGCTCGTTGTCTCTTTTATTTGTTCAATTTGATTCAAGGAAACTACTCCTCAACAAACAAGAGATGGCTGTAAGCGTTGAACAGCGACACAAGACTCCAAATCACACAGACACAGACAAACACACAGACACAGACAAAGGCAAACACACACACACACAGATACAGACAAAGACACACAACACACACAAAGACACACACACACACACACAAAGACACACACACACACAGATACAGACAAAGACACACACACACACACAGATACAGACAAAGACACACACACACACACACACAAAGACACACACACACACACACACACACAAAGACACACACACACACACAGATACAGACAAAGACACACACACACACACACACACACACAAAGACACACACACACACACACAAAGACACACACACACACACACACACACACACACACACACAACAAGCCTATTGTGGTGGAGGCGGCGGAGGCGGCGGAGGCGGCGGTGGTGGTTGTAGTTCTTGTTGTTCTTGTTGTTGGTGCTTCCTGTCTTGCACCCACTTCTGCGTCTTCAAAGCCAGCTGTGTGTGCGGGTGTTTTGGACCAACTGCAGCCATGCAAATCTCAACCGTCTTGCGGGCGTTTGTCACCGCCTTGTCGTGTTCGCCCATCTTGCTGTACGCAATGGCGATGTTGTTGTATGTGGCAGCTGTCTCGGCATGCTTCTCCCCAAGCGTGCACACCTTGATCTCCAAGCTCCTGTGCAAGTAATCGATGGCGCGCTCTCGGTCGCCCTTGGCAGAATACGCGTTTGCAATGTCGTTGTAGGTGATGGCTGTTTCCGGGTGGTTCTTCCCCACGGTGGCCAGCCTGATCTCCAACGCCTTCTCAAAGTGCGCAATCGCCTCGTCCCCGTCGCCCTTGGCCTTGTACACCTGCCCGAGCGAGTTGTATGCGAGCGCGGTGGACGCGTGGCGTGGGCCCGCCGCGTCCACCTTGATCTGCAACGAGCGCTTGTACGCGTCCAAGGCCTTGTCCAGGTCGTTGAGCCGCTGGTACGTGTCGCCGAGCGTGGAGTAGGCGTTGGCTGCTGAGAGGCTGTTGTCGGTGTTGGTCTCCTCATACATGTGCGTGCTGCGCTGACAGCACTCAAGGGCTCGCTCGATCTTGCCTACGCGATGCAGTACAGCTCCCAGCTGCGAATAACACGAAGCGACGTTCGGGTGTGTGTCACCGTAGTGCGCACGCGTGGCAGCCAGGCTCTTCTCACACAGGTCGATGGCCTTGTCGTTCTCGCCAAAGGTGCACATCACCTGGCTTGCCCGAAAGCATAGGTCGCCGAGCAGACGCGTGAGGCCCCTGGCAGTGGGTGTGCTGCTGTCGTTGCTGGTGGTCGGTGTGGTCGTGTCGGTGGTGGTGTTGCTGTCACTGGGGTTGTGCATGGCCTGTTCGACATCGTGTACAAACTGCATCACCTGCTCCAAACACCACTGTCGCATGCGGTCCTTCACCATCCTGTTGAGGTGCGGGAAGCCCACTGTGTTCTTGATGGCACGGAAGATCATGTTCTTGTCCTTTTGGTCCCAGGCCTGGGCCCGTTCAGCTTGGACACGCACCATGGCTGCGGTGATGGCGTTGTGTTCGTTAAGGAGCGCGTGTCGCAATGCGTTGCGCTGCGCACTGGGCAGCCGAATGGCCAGCTCCACCCCCTCCTGGCTCGCACTGCAGAAGATCTCCCACAGGCACCATGCGCGTGTGAGCGGCACGGGGTCGTGCCACGGTGTCAACACCAACAGCACGCGGCCAATCGCTTTGATTGACTTCATAAACGTCGTGCTCCACCTAGATGTGTGAGAGTGAGTGAGTGAGTGAGTGAGTGAGTGCGTGTGTGTGTGTGCGAGTGAGTGAGTGCGTGTGTGGGCAGAGTGAGTGAGTGAGTGCGTGTGTGTGAGTGTGCGGAGAGAGAGAGAGTGTGTGTGTGTGTGTGAGTGTGTGTGTGAGTGCGTGTGTGTGTGAGTGTGCGAGCGAGTGTGCGGAGTGAGTGAGTGAGTGAGTGAGTGTGTGTGTGTGTGTGCGAGTGAGTGTTGTAGCCGGCAGATGGACACTGAGGAGAGATCCTATTGCAGCGAGCAGCATTGCCTTTCCTCACAGGTACACGCACATGTACTCACACACGTACATGCCCACACACAGGCATCTATCGTACCAGTCTTGTGGGAGGTTGGCGGCGATGTTTTGGTTGTTGGTGAAGAGATCGAACCAGAACCAAGGCTCTGGGTTGCCCTTTTGGTGTTCTTCCTTGGCATAGTCGAGTAAAGTGTCGAGGACGTCGACGATCTTGTATCGCCAAGCGTGGGAGACAAACACGGTTGCTTTGGCCACATGGTTGGGGTCCATCCGCTCCACGTAGGCGCAGCACTGCTCCTTGGTCTTAGGCATGACAAAGTTCTTGCAGGCATCGTGGGTGGTCATTTTGCCAGCCGTGTCTGGGAACTGCGCGACAAGGGAGTCCTTGAACTGCTGTAACCCGGCCGAAGACACGCCCAACAAGCTCATTGCTGCCTCTTCTGCCTCTGCTTGGGAAGAAGGCACGCTTGCATTGGCTGTGTTGGATCGAAATGGAGGCTGGCGTTGTTGTTGTTGTTGTTGTTGTTGTGGGGGCAGGGGTGGCGGTGGCGGAGCTGGCGGAGTGTAGTACGGCGGCGGTGGCGGTGGTGGTGGCGGAGGCGGTGCTGGTTGGGGTGCTTGAGTTGTCTGCGCAGGTTGACCCTGTTGCGTTGGCAAGTCCATGACGCCCTCGGAGTTGTCTAAGTTGCTGTTTAAGTTGCTGTTTAAGTTGTTGTTTAAGTTGTTGTGGTTATTGTTGTCGTTGGCACCTTCGTCGTTGATTGCGCCTTGTTCTCCGATCTTGGTTGTTCTTATCTCTTCCGCTGTTGCTTCCACTGTCGTCTGGTCAGGGGTGGGCGGATCCACTACCGCTGAAGACGAGGTTGAAGAAGGACAAGAAGAAGCGGGTGGTGAAGATCTTCCCCCTCTTCTGCAGCACGCAAACATCTCTTCAGAGGTCCTTCGCGCAGCAAAGGCAATTTTTGCTTTTGAGCGTCAAGTCAAAATTGACGTTCGCACTCTCCACACACACACGACGAAGACAACAGCCACCACACCGAGCACACAACACCAAGCAACACATTACCGTCGAGATGGGCCTGGGAAGCATCGTGTACTTCACCGCAGGCGGCGTGTTCACAGGCGTGTATGCCAACGCCGTTCGCAGACGCCCTGTGCTCGCCAGTGAGTTGAGAGAGAGAGAGAGATTTTGTGTGTTCGTCTGTGTGTTCGCCTGTGTGTGTGTGTTTGTGTTCGTCTGTGTGTTCGCCTGTGTGTGTGTGTGTGTTTGTGTGTGTGTGTTGTGTGTTGTGTGTGTGTGTGTGTGTATGTGTGTGTTTGTGTGTGAGTGTGTATGTGTGTGTGTGTGTAAATAAGTGTGTGTGTGTGTGCGCGCGCTTGGTGGGCGATTTTTGCTCACAAACGAACACAAACCTTGTGGTGGTGAAATGGTGCAGGTCCTGGCATGCTTGCTGCGTGCACTGTGTCTGGCCTCGCGCTGGGTTACGCCTTCCACAGGTATGACAGCTTGTGGAGGTGTTGTGTGTGTATGCGTGTGTGAGTGAGTGCTTACGTGTTGAGGGTGTATGCGTGTGTGTGTGGATGCACGCCTTTTTTTTTTTTTTTTTGTGTGTGTGTGTGTGTGTGAGTGTGTCTCCGTGCTTTGTATTGGTTTGCTTTTTCTGGGCTGCTGTAGATGTGCCTCTGACCGTGACATGGAGGCGTTCAAGCTCACCCATACTCTCATGATGTTTAGATACGAGGAGACACGGACAGAGAAGACGTTCAACATGGCCGAGCTCAGGGACATCAAGCCCCATGGCAACTAAACGACGCGTGCGTGTGTGATGTGATGTGTTTGTGAGTGTGTGTGTGTGTGTGTGTTATCGTTTGATGGTGTGTGCGTGTGATGGTGTGTGCGTGTGATGGTGTGTGTGTGTGATTGTGATCGTGTGCTTGCGTTTGAGTGCATGTGTTTCACTTGTGTCTGACTGTGCCTCGTATGCTTGTGCGTGACATGACATGATGTGTGGTGGGATTCGACACGAGTGCGTGTGGGGTCAGCTATCTCGGCCTCTCAGTGTGTTGTGCTTGGGTGGCACCTTTTCATTGAACTTTCAGCATGAGAGAAGACACGCGTGCATGAGGTTCTTTATTACAGTTGTGATCGAGCGCAACCAAGTGCGCAGCACGAACGGAGAAAGCAGAGGAGATGCACTCACTGCCTGCTATGTTGTTTTGTGACGGTTGATGTTGGCGAAAAGGAGAAAGACAAGGACACACACGATGATGACAGAGAGAGAGAGAGAGAGAGCAAGGAAGAGGGCGAGAGTAACAAAAATGAGTGTCAGTTGCTTCTTTTGCGTGTGTGCAGTGTGTGCAGTGTCACGGGGACGTGGCTGCGGCCGTTGCGAGAGCAGAGAGCATTCGATTGAATGCAAATCGAGTGATGGCCGTGACAATCCATTGCAGTCCCCAGGGAATGTCCATCTCACAGTGCCAGTGCACATTTGTCACCTACACGTGTGTAAGTGTGTGATTGTGTGTGATTGTATGAGAGAGAGAGAGTGTGTGTGTGCGTGTGTGTGTGCGTGTGTGTGGAATTCTGTAGCACAAGCACTCTGATGCCTTGTGGGTCCACAAGCACCCATGAGCCGCACATGTGAACATTGACACGTACGTTGGGGCCCTTTTCACGAAAGTGGACGGTGGCATGGTGTGAGCGAACAGGGAACGGGCCACCGATGATGCGATAGGAGATGGCGTCAAACGGATCGACCGCCGTGATCTTCTCCTTCACGCCGCCAGCAACTCTGTTTGAAGAAAGAGAGAGAGAGAAAAAAAAGATCAGGCAAACAGAGAGCGTGCGGGGCGAGGTTGTCGGATGAATGCATGGCGAAGCGAAGACAGAGGAGCAACACAAAGCCACACACACACACACACACACACACACACGCACAAAGGTCTCTTACACACATCTACACACACACACACCTTCTCACGCAGTGAAGGCGATGGTGGTTGGTGTCTCCTTCTTCCAGGATGGCAGGCTTGCCCAGACCACCACCACCAAGCCACACATGGTCCAGCCACAGCTTGAAGGCCCGCTCCGCATTCGCTGGCACATCCACGCTCACGTCCAGCATACAGTCAGCCACTGCCTCGGCCGCCGCAGCCGTTTCCGCTGCTTCATCTTGGCCCCTGTTTGTGGTGTCGCCCATCGTTGCTTTCTACGGATTTGCTGACTCGGCAAAATTCAAGTCCTGACCTGTTTTGGCGTGCCTCTATTTTTGGTTGGTTGGGCGTTGTGTGCACTGTCGACGAACGTTTCGCTCTGCTGTTGTTGTTTGTTGGCAAATCGAGCAAGCAAAAGTCCGCATTTTCACAGCACTGCCGCCACCCACCCATAACAAGGGCAGCGTCCTCCTTCCTTTGCCCTCTTTGCTGCTTGCTGTTGTAACAACTCCCACTGCCAGATTGGGCGTGCTGTGCAGCTGCGACGACGACGACGACGGCTGAGTTGCCAAGCAAAAGCGCCAAGAAAAGCAAGAGGCAAAGGAAGAGGCAAACGAGGCACAGGAAGCCAAGCAAACAGCAGCGCAGTCGATCATTCATTCATTCATGGCGCGAAACCACGACCACTGCACGATGATGGCTCAACTCAAGGTGCGGGTTGTTGTTTGTTGTGCCGAACGTTCGCTCTGTGTGTGATCACAACACGTTGGGCTGTTTTGCTCCTCTCCCTCTCTCGCTAATTCCCACTTTTATTTGTGCAGACGACCGACATCCACGAGGATTACAGTGTATTCTGGGATCAAACCATTGGCAACGGCACCAACGGGCCAGTCTTGTGAGTCGCTACGTGTGAATGTGTGAATGTGTGAATGTGTGAATGTGTGTATGTGCATGTGTACATGTGTACATGTGTGCATGTGTGTATGTGTGTATGTGTGTGTGTGCATGTGTGTGTGCATGCCAACACCTTCTTTTCAGCCTCATCACCACTGCAATTCCTTACCCAAACACCCAAACGCACACACACACACACACACACAACACACAACACACACACACACACACACAACTGTACATGCAGTGCGTGTGTGCACAAGGAGACGAGCAAGCAGTGTGCGTTGAAATGCCTGCCTGGCAATGATGCTGGCCTGCGGGAGGCCCACCTACATCAGCAGCTGGCAGCCCACCCGTGCATCGTCCCCGTCATGGACGTCTATGACGCCTCCATCACCCTCCCTGGCGGTGCGTCCATGTGTTTCAGTTTGTGTGTGTGTGTGTGTGTGAGTGAGTGTGTGTGTGTGTGTGTGTGTGTGTGTGTGTGTGTGTGAGTGTGTGAGTGAGTGTGAGTGTGAGTGTGAGTGTGTGTGTGTGTGTGCGTGTGTGTTTGTGTCTGTCTGTCTGTCTGTCTGTCACCCCTTTTTTCAAACTCACTCTTCCTCCCTCCCTCCCTTCCTCCACACCCTCCGCTAAACCTCCCTCACCCATCCCCATCATGCTGTTGTCACAGAGTATGTGCCTGAGCGGCGGGTGCTGCTGGTGACGGAGCGCATGCAGGGCGGCGAGCTGTATGACCACATCACGCAGAACAGGAAATTCAGCGAGAACGACGCGCGTGTGATCATGCGCCAGCTGGCGCAGGCCGTTGCCCACTGCCACCGCAACGACGTGGCCCACCGCGACATCAAGCCCGAGAACTTTCTCCTGCACACGCGCGGCGACGCAACGCGCATCTGCCTCACGGACTTTGGGTACGCCAAGCAGGACAACGGCGACCTGCACACGCCCGTCTTCACGCCGTTCTACGTGTGCCCGCAGATCCTGGAGTCGCTCACCATTGAGCAGCGCAAGCAGCACGGCACGCTACCTGCGCACCACCGCTTCACGTACGACAAGCGGTGTGACATGTGGTCGCTCGGGGTGATCATGTACATCCTGCTGTGCGGGTACCCGCCCTTCCGCCCAAACCACGCCAGCAACCCGCTGCCCTTTGCCATGCGGCAGAAGATCAAGGCCGGGTCGGTGCACTTCTCGCCGCGCCACTGGCAGGACGTCTCCAACACGGCCAAGGAGCTCATTCGCCACCTCCTGCACGTGGACGAGCGCAAGCGCCTTGATGCAGAGCAGCTGCTGCTGCATCCCTGGATGTGCGAGGGCGCACCCTGTCTCGACGACAGCATGCTTGCTGGCGCAAGCGTGGGCAGCAGCAGTGGTGGTGGTGGCGCCCGCAGTAGCCGCAGTGGTATTGTGACAACTGCCAGGCCAGAGGAGACCGTGAGTGAGGAGAGCCACGGCGATGATGGAGATGATGATGATGATGATGATGGTGGTGATGATGATGGTGGTGATGATGATGATGGTGATGATGATGATGGTGAGGATGCAGCACGGCCAACGACAGCGACCACACCAACAGTGTCAGAAAACGGAGAGGAGAGGCGAGGCGAACGAGTGACAAACACATCCCCACCACCGCCGACACCGCCACCGCCTGGTAGTCGTCGCATCACTGCCGCACTCACCCCAGTCGACTGCTGCGAGTGAGTTTTGGTTTGTGCGTGCATGTTTGTGTGTGTGTGTGTGCATGTTTGTGTGTGCATGTGTGTGTGTGTGCGTGTGTGTGTTGGAGGACACCATCTCACGACCGTCTTGCAACTGTTTGCTTTTTGCTTTGCTTTTGGCAGAAACGCGCTGGCGAAACGACGCCAGCGAAGGCGATCACAACAGACCAGCAAACAACAACCACGACAACAACAACAACAACAACAACAACAACAACAACAACAACAACAACAACAACAACAACAACAACAACAACAACAACAACAACAACAACAACAACAACAACAACAACAACAACAACAACAACAACAACAACAACAACAACAACAACAACAACAACAACAACAA